CGACCAACCCCACGACCAACCCCGCGACCGACCCACGGCCCACCCCGCACCCATCCCCTCACTCTGATCCGCAATAGCGGGGTGCTGCGTCTCTTCTTGCTTGCTGCGCCCGCTGTATTCGAGGCCGACCCAAGACCCCCGACGTCATGTTTTTTTTTTTTGGTAAAAAAAGAATATCTATATATATATATATATATATATTTATATTTATTTTATTTTTTAAAGTCGACCCCCAGAAGTCTCGACCCATTACCAGGGACCCGTTTTTCATCCTGAGCCGTTTTTTGACGGTCCACGGCCCTGGAGCCCGGCGAGGGCCTCCAGGGACAGAAAACAACGGAAAACCTTCGCATTGTATTTTTCAGGTTGCTGGCGGTCTGGGAGGCCGTCGATCGTCGTCGTCGTCGTCGTCGTCGTCGTCGGCGGCCGCGGAGCGGCGCGGGTGCGGGCACTGTCCTGCAGCGCCACGCCCGGCCCCTCTCGGCGGCGGCCCGGGCCACCCTCGGCGGCGCCGCGCTCGGCCTGGTGCGGGGCCTTCTCTCGCCACTGCTCGTCGACGACGGCGACAAGCGTCGTCGGCGGCGGCGGCGGCGGCGGCGTCGTCGTCGTCGGCGGCGTCATCGCCGCCGCCGCCGCCGTCGTCGTCGTCGGCGTCGTCGTCTGCGTCGTCGCCGCCGTCGGCGTCATCACCGCCGCCGCCGCCGCACGCGTCGTCATCGTCGTCGTCGTAGTCGTCCTTCCTCTCTGCTTTTCAAGACCACCTCGCGATGCAAAGGAATCACAGTGGAAAGTGCTCGATCAGCCTCGGCCCCTGGGGGCCCTCGCTGGGCCCCAGGACCGCCAAAGAACAACTCGGGATGAAAGGAAGACCCAAGCAAGAGGTCCAGAGTTTTGGGGGTCAACATCATGAAATAATCCTTAGTCGGCGACGTTGCCGTCGTCGTCGTCGTCGTCGCCGTCATCGCATGAACGCGAATTGCAAATGTTGAGGGCGCCAGTGCGATGCGCAACACAAAACGAGATTGCAATCCCATGCGATGTCACAAAAACCCTTTGTACCGCACCCCCTTCCACACCAGAGACACTCACTTGTCTGCGCCTTCTTGGGCCTCTTGGGGGATTCTCGTGGCCACCGCTGGATTCCCCTCGAATTCTTGCCAGAAAACACCCCACGATAGATCGAAGCCTTGTCCTTTGAGGCCATTGAGGTCGTCGTCGTCGTCGTTGCCGCCGGGGAAAGGGAAAATGGGGATTGGGGAGGAGAGAGCAGGGGGATGGAAGGGGGAGGGGGACTGAAGACCAAAGAGACTGCGGAGGGGAGACAAGGAGGAAGAGGACGCACCTGTACGAAGAGGGGGGCGGGGGAAGGCCTTCCACGTCGACAGCACAACCAAAAACCGACCCCTGACTTACCACACGGTTGGACCCCTGACTTACCCGACCCCGATGTCTCGACCCGCTCTCCGGGACCAATTTGTCATCCCGAGCCGTTTTTTTGACAGTCCCAGGGCCCAGCGAGTGTCCCCACCCCAAAGGCAGAACCTTACGTGTATACCTGTGTGCACACACATATATATACATATATATATAAATATATACATATACATATTTATATATATACAGGGTTAACCTAAGAAACGTCCGTGGTGATTCTACAACGACGCGAACATGTACGGGACCGAGGCTCCGACAGCGAAACCGAACATCTAAGAATGTCCAGAAACCTCCGAGGCTATGGTCGTGGGCACCGGAGTCGTCGTTGCCGTTGTCGTCGTCGTCCTCGTCGTCGTCCTCCTCGTCGTCGTCGTCGTCGTCGTCGTCGTCCTCCTCGTCGTCGTCGGCGTCGGCGTCGGCAACGGCGTCGGCGTCGTCGACGCGGAGTCTGTGGCCTTCCGCAGGTGCGGCAGAGCGTCGAGCAAGTCCTCGTGGGCAAGGGGGAAGGGGGAACAGGGTTGGGGGGGGCGAAGGTACAGGGTTGGAACAGGGGGAACAGGGTTGGGGGAACATGGGGGAAGAGGGAGCCTCGGACTATAGTCGCAGAGCTACGCGCCAAATGAATCGTTCAAGGAAGGGCTCGCCTCCAAGAGCTGAAAGAGTTGACATCTCTTCCTCGTCGAAAGGCGGCGGAGACTGGCGGAAATAAAACCACATCGGTTGCGCCGGCGGTAACCGGCAAAAGCCAGCGAAAATAAAAAACAGCCTTCCAAAAAATGACAATGTCTTGGGATTCCGGGTTCCCAAAACGGCTCTCTGGCTTCTCTGGCCACGGCGAGCCTTGGCCCCGAAGAGGCCCCCCGATTTAGATCTGAAGCACGTCGCAGGAACCAGAGCCCTCCCGAACTCAAAGTGGGTCGCGTTTGCGCGTCTTGGCTGCGCCATGGGACGGTCTCTGAAAAACGGGGCCCACGCGGAGGGGGGCACGACCTGCACGCTGACGGCCTGTGCTGGCTGCGAGGCACCGCTGGCGCTGCGTGCCGTGAGCGGGCGGGACGCTCCACCACCACGACGGCGCACCGGCCCCGTGGCAACCGTCGCGCCTCCGAGGGCCAGCGGCAGGAGGAACGAAGGGATTCGAGAAACAGGGGGGTGACTTCGAGTGGCGGGTGGAGCGGTCCACCACTGCGATGGCGCAGCGGCCCCGCGGCCGCCGTCGCGCCCCCGAAAGCCAGCGGCAGGGGAAGCGCGGGGAACTGAGAAGCAGGAGTAGGAGGAGGAGGGAAAGGAGGCGGAGGAGGACAATGAAAAGGAGGGGGAGGAGCAGAAGGAGGATCACGATGACGACAGCGGTGCTGGCGGTAGGGGCCGGGCGCCATGACGACCGCACTTGGTAGGCAAGGGCCTGCCGCGCACCGCGTGCCCGCCGGGTCCTCCCGGGCGCTCTCGGGCACGGCGCCTGGACGGCACAACGCGTAGCTCAGCGCCGCGAGCCACACCTGCCGGCCAGCGATAGCCAGCGACCGGGGACTGGGGATCCTAGACCCCCTCGAGTTATGAACAAATCTCAACGGATGTGATTTCCACCATATCACAGTCTGGAACTGTTGTTGCTAATCAGACGCCCTTTTACCTCCTTCCTCCTTCTTCTCCTTCTCCCCCTTCACTCTCAGATCACCCATATACTCGTATTCAAATCACTCACACCCATCACGGGGTCCATCACAAACCACCTCCTCTTCACAGGTTCCATCACATATTCAATCTTCCACACGCAGACTCAGCCACATCAGTTTCTCACTCAGAATCACTCAGACTCAGACTCACTCAGACTCATTCAGACCCATTCAAGGAATTAGCCTCAGACGCATTCACACTCATACACATTCAGACTCTATCACTCCGACACACTCTTCCTCACTCAGACGCACTCAATTTTGTCTGGTGGTCCACTGCTCACCGCTATGTAGCAGGCGTGGCACTCGGGCATCCCAAGGGAAGCCGGGAGGGCCGCACATACTTCAGGATTCGCGCGCAGATTGTGGGGATTTCTCAAGCAGTTTGCCTGTTTTGGCCCCCCAGACTTCTCGTTTTTGGTGGTCCAATGCTCGCCGCCGCGAGATGTAGCAGGCGTGGCACTTGGGCACCCCAGAGGGGGTGCCGCTACGGGCGAACACACTCCAGCATTCTTGTCCATTTATAGGTCTGTCTCAAGCCGTTTGCCTGTTTCTGCCCCCAATCTTTTCTCTTTTGGTGGTTCAATGCTCTCCGCGATATGGCAGGCGTGGCGTTGGGACACTCCAATGGGGAGACCCTAGAGGTGAAGACACTCCGACAGTTGCGCCCAGATTATGGGGATGGCTCAAACGGTTTGCCTGTTCTGCCAACCAGATTTTTCCATTTTGGTGGTCCAGTGCTCACAACGATATAGCAGGCGTGGCACTTGGCACCCCAATGGGGCGCCGCCAGGGGTGGGGGCGCTCCACAAGTTGCGTCCCAAATGTGAGCATGTCTCAAGCGGTTTGCCCGCTTCTGCACCCAGGAATTCTTTATCTCTTTTGGTGGTCCAGTGCTCACCGTGACATCGCAGGCGTGGCACTTGGGCGCCCCAATGGGGCGCCGCCAATGGTGGGGGCGCTCCAAACATTGCATCCAGAATGTGAGGATGTCTCAAGCGTTTTGCCCGTTTCTGCACCCAGGAATTCTTTATCTCTTTTGGTGGTCCAGTGCTCACCGCAACATCGCAGGCGTGGCACTTTGGCACACCAACGCTGAACCGGCGCCCACCAGACGTTTGTCCTTTGGTGGTCGACTGTTCGCCGCCATACAGCAGGTGTGGCACTTGGGCACCCCAAAAGGGACCCGCCAAGGGTCAGGACACTCCCGGATTCGCGCCCAGATTCTGGGGATGATCCAGGCGGCTTGCCTGCCCGGGCCTCCCCAATTTGCGTTGGCGCATGCGCGCACTGGCTGCGACCCCCCACCCTCATAAAGATTGTTGGGAGGATCGCTGCCCTAACCTCACGCGCCACGGAAGCTGAACTTTTGTGCCATGCATAGCTCTGCTTTGCTTTGCATTGCTAATTACGGTGTGCTTTGGATTGCGTTGCTTTGCGTTCCCTCTCCCCTCCTTCGTCCTGCTTTGCGAGGCTGCGAATTGTTTTGTGTTGATATTGTGGCTGTGCGCTGCTTTGTGTTGCTTTGCGTGGGTACGCGTTGATTTGCGTTGTTCTGCGCTGCGGTGCATTGCTTGGCATTGATTCGCGCTGCTGCTCAGTGCTTGCCGTTGAATTGCGTTGCAACGCATTGCTTTGAATTGCGTGGCAGTGTTCTGCATAGCATAGCACAGAATGGAAAGAGTGAGGACGGGGAAGAGAAGAAGGAGGACTACCATTACACCAGGCTGCCACGACGAAGCCAAAGGATTGTTCAAGGCTCGTCCCGGGTCACAGAAGTAAGTACGGCTCTTTTTGTCACATGTCGTTGCCGATCTAAGGCGCAGCGTGGGCTTTTGCGTCGGCCCGCCACGGCGCCCCACTGGAGGGGCAGCGGTTTTGGTGCAGTGTGCAGACGTTTGAATGGGACCAGCCCTTAACCTCCACATTCTGCCTGCTGTCCCCCCACCATTGATTCGCTCCCCTGGGTGCCGCCCCGCTGCTGGCGCGAAGAGAACAGGCGCGTCGAGGAGCGCCCTGTTCCGCAAACCCAACTGCAGAGTGGGGATGTCGACCTCCCTATGGGGTTCGCGGAACGGGAGCGACTCGAACAAAAATCAAAAACAACGATGGGGAGGGGCGCGTGGTGACGCTCCGTGACCGCGACTCCCCCCTGGAGACGGGATGGCGGCGCGGGGGGGCTGCCCCGTCCCTTTGGATGGGCACATCTCCCTCTGGGCCCCCTCCTCCCGAACCCGCGCCCTCCTGACGTCATCCTTAAGTTAGAAGTATGTGTATATACAGATATACACTTAATCATCACAAACATATACATACATGCGCATACATACATACATACATACATGCATGCATACATGCATACATACATACATACATCCATACATACATGCATACGTACATCCATACGTACATGCATACATAACTACGTGCGTGCGTACATCCGTACACACGTACATGCATACATTACATTACATTACATTACATTACATTACATTACATTACATTACATTACATTACATTACATTACATTACATTACATTACATTAGAGTACATCACATGACATTACAATACATCACATTACCTTACATTACATTAAATTACATCACATCACATTACATTCCATTACATACATACGTACACCCATACATACGTATAGACACCCCATATATACATACAAACATACCTACGTGTACCCATGTACATATTAGCATACACAAGCACACTCGTACACACATGCATACATTCATTCATACATGCATACGTACATACACACATACATACATACATGCAGACGTACATACATTCATATACATGTGTATATATATATATATATCCCCCCGCACCCATTGATGTTGCATCGGTCGTTGACCTCCACTTCTTGTTATCCTCCATGATTTTTCCCTCCATCGCCTTCCCTGTCTTGATCCCTTCCTTTTCCTCTTCATGCTTCCCTCCCCGATCCACGTCTTCTTCATCTTCACGCCTGTTTCCCTCAGTCGTCCTCACTGTGTGGATCCATCCCTCTTCCTCTTCCTGCCTCCCCCATCCATTTCCTATTACCCTTCATGCTTATTCCTCCAATCTTCCTCCCTGTCTTCATCTCTCCCTCTTCCCCGCCTTCTTCCTGCTTCCCTCGCCAATCTTCCTCCTACTACTACCACCACGACTACGACTACGACTACGCACAGCACAACATCATGTAGATGAACTTTTTCAGGGGGGAGATGCGTACAATGGGCTCAGCTACACTCACCGACCTGTCATGGAAGTCCTGCCAGCCTTTGTGCTTCTCCACGTTGTCCCAATGTTCCTTTTGATGATCCTCCATCTGATCTCCTACTCGGTTTCTTCCTCCCCGTCCTTCCAAAAATCAATAAAGACGAATGTGGTTCATCGCTGGGTCACATGCTGCTGCAAGACCCTGATCAGGGCAACTCGACGGGCGATGTTTTTGGATGGGCTGGTGGGGGTACTTTTTTTTTGGTCGCGGCCGCGAGACAAGGGTCAGGCGGCGAAAGCAAAATCCGGGGCTCGAGCGAGGCTAATTAGCTACAACAGGCACAGGCCGGCCGGCCCACTCACAAAGCAGCCGCGAAGCTGAAAGGGGGAGCTGACGGCGGACGGGACCTGAGAGCTCGAGCACGTGCACAGGACAAAGTGTCACAGAATTCGGTGCCTGCCATGGCACGACCCACACAGTAGAGACGAGAACCAGGATGGTCAAGTCCGTCGTGCTGAGTGGGGGCAAGTGGGAGGCCATTGGAGTGAGTCGCCAGTGGGGCGCCAGGCTCCAAACGCCCTGACGACTTGAGCTAGCCAGAAAGGCTGAGCTGTCGCGAACCGTGGTGCAACGCAACTGGGGAAAGCTGATGGTGAGCCTGGAATGCTGTACCTGCTGCGGAAGGCTGAACCACAAAACTGGTGGGGGTACACGGAGCGTCAAGAAATCGAATGAGGATTAGCCTGGGATCTCGAAGACGAGTCGGGAATCTCTCATAGCTGGCGGGTCTGGAGGATGAATCGAGCGCCGCGGCTATTCAGGAGCGTTCTGGCGCTGGGCCTCTGGATCCTCATCCTGGACCCGCCTGGTCGACCCGCTCCGAAGGGGTGCCACTGCGTCCCAGGTACGTTCTCGAGGGCCCTGGTGCCCGAACGCGGCTCGGTAGAAAGCATACAGTCACTGTGCTACCACGAGGAGGGCCGAGTAAGCAATGGAGGGGCTCGTCTGGTCTCGGCGAGCCTCGGCCACGAACAGGATCCCCATCCCAAATCTTAGGGATGGCCTTGCAAACCGAAGCCCCTCCTGAACTGGGGGCGCGATGTTTGCACGCCACCCCCACAAAGAAGTCAAACAAGCTGGTCCGGCACATGACCGTGGACCAAGGGTATGCGTACAAACATTGCATCTCCTGGTGATACGTTTTTGGCACACCAGCCCCAGAAGCAAGCTAGTGCAACACAAGTAGGAAGCCCCAAAAAGACGTACGCGCCCAACCACGTACTTCAACACCTAGTCCGCCAGACCAACCTCGTGATACAAACGCTCGCGCTAAGCGTGCTCCCGAAACCAACGTGGATTCGTGTATGTGTGCGTCTCCTTTCGCTCCTCCACAAGGTACGCGCGCAGGGGCGGTGGTCATAAATCGGCTCACGATGAACCCAAAGTGGTCATCATTTTAGGGCCTTGGCAACATCGAGGTCTGGAGTGGCGCTCTGGACAGAGAGCGCCGCGTCCAGGACCCAGAAGGACATTCTGTGCATATGTTGGAGGTGCACGTCGGACACGGACAATGTCGCACAAGCATAGCATGTTATAGTATATATCGCTACCCCGGCGGTATGCCAGAACACGCCCGCCACCGAGCCTACGTTATGAGATTTCCGAGCGCGTGCGTCGCCCCTGTGGGGCTGGCGCACAAGTCGTGTGAGCACTGCTGGGTGGTGCCGAAGCGAGGACGGAGGGGGGGACGGAGGCAAAAACCTGTTAAAAAACAAATCCCCGGGCCCCTCCAGGAGCCGAAACTGACAAGTGTTTCGGGAAGTCTCCAGCCGTGGCGACGCGGGGTCCCCTCTCTCCCCCATCTCTGCTGGCCGGAGCCACTGGCAGCGCGCACAGGGGGCAGGGGGAGGGGGGGGGAAGGCTTCCGAGAAGCCTTCCCCCCCCATCCCCCCACTCCCTCGTGCGCGTGGCCGAAACCAGTGCTGGGCCACCTCAGTCTCCCAGCCGGCTTCAAGTCTCAACGTCTCGATGCTGTCCGAGCTGGGCCTGACATGAACCAGATGTGGAGCACATTCGGGACAGGACGTGGGCCAGATTTGGACCGGATCTGTCCCTGAAGAGAGACGAACGGGGAGGGGAGGAAGAACAGGACGGGCGAGGAGGAGGCGGAGAAAGGGCCAAAGGCGCTTCAGATTCGGTCCAAATGCAGGAAAACCCAGACATCTGGCGTCCCGATTTTATCGAGACGCGGCCCCCCGACCTGTCGGGCACTTCCCTGGGAAGTAATTATTCCATCCCCGATGGTTTTTGTTGACGGCCCCGAGGCCCAACGATGACCCCGAGAGGCCGAGAACTACGAAAAATCTTAATCTCGATCTTTTCGAGACGCCAGACGTGCTGGGCGAGGTCTCCGACGAGGATGCCTCAGACGAGGAGGAGGAGGACGACGAAGAAGAGGAGGACGAAGATGATGAGGAGGAGGAGTAGGAGGAAGGGGATGAGAACGAGGACGGTGAGGAAGCGGGGAGAGGGAGGGATCGACTGTTGCAGAACGAGGAGGAGGAGAAGGAGGAGGAGGAGGGGGAGGAGGAGGAGGAGGGAGCAGGGAGGAAAGGAGGAGGAGGAGGAGGGAGCGGGGAGGAAAGGGCGAGGAGGAGGAGGAGGAGGAGGAGAAGGAGGCGCAGGAGGACACCGACGAGGACACCACAACGGGGGTAGAGGAGGATGCCGACGACGGGTGGCGGCCAGCGGTGGCACGTCGGCGGTGGGAGGCTCGCCTGCGTGCAGCACTCCCGCTGGGGCGGGCCCTGGAGGCTCCGGTCGCTCTCGCGGAGCAGCTCCTCGCAGGGGGCGGGGGAGAGAGAGGCGGCACGCCGCGAAAAGACAGTGGAGGCCAGTCCACAAGAAACCTTCCACAAGAAGCCCAACCCTGAGACCCAAGGGCGTCCATGCATCCTTGGCGTGGGAGCGTCGCGCTTTCCATAGCAAAACCATTGAAACCCAAGAAACACAGGGCACGCAGTGTGTTCCTTGGCATGGGTATGTCCACTAGAGGCAAGCAGGGTGTTCCTTGGCATGGGTCTCCAAAAAACACGGACACCCTCTGACGAACTTTGTATGTGCCTTGAGGGAGGGCGGCGGTGTATAAAGTCGCTGGCTCCCAGTGGTGATTTATACACCGACACCCTCCCCTGAAGCCCAGGAACAATCCATTGGAGGGTGTCTATATTTTTTTGTGGCGGTGGCGAGGAGGGGGGGGCGGAGGGAGCAGGGAGGAAGGAGGGTGGGGGGGAACGGTAAGGGGTCCGAGACCCCCTCGAGCCCGAGTCATGAGAAAATCACGCCGGAAAGTTTTCCATATTTTGGCCTCCAAGGGCCCTTGCCGGGCCGCGGAACAGTCACAAGCCGACTCAGGATGGAACAGCGGGTCCCGGGGAATGGGTCGAGACCTTTCGGGTCGACGTCGTGAAAAAATCATGGTCGGGGGCCCGGTGGAGGGTGTCGCAAGGAGAGAGGCCGAGGGAGGGAGGGGTGTGGGACGGAGGAGGAACAGAGGAAGGAGGCAGGAGGGAGCACTCCCGCCGGGGCGGGCCCCGGAGGCCTTGGTCGCTCTCCCGGAGCAGCTCCTCGGAGGTGGCGGGGGGAGAAAGGCGGGGAGGGGGACGGAGGGAGCAGGCAGGGAGGGGGGGGAGGAAAAGGAAGGGGGCCCCGAATCATGAAGAAATCGCGCCGGGAGGTTTTTCATTATATTTTCGGCCTCCAGGGCCTCCTTACCCGGCCGCGGGACCGTCAAAGAAAGACTCAGGATGAAAAACCGGTCCGAAGGAATCGGAATGTGTCGAGAACTTGGGGAGGGAGGGGATGGAAGGGAGGCCTTACGAAGCTACGAGCTATCCCACGTAGTGGTAGAAACGATTAGGAGCGGCGAAGCTGCCGCACCTTGCTGAGTTGCTTGGACCACCTGCCTGCCTACAACATGGTGGACTACTCTCGCCTGTCAGGGGGAGCAGGGAAGGGGGGGTCTGAAAGAGGGAGGGAGGGGGCAGGGAGGAGAGGAGGAGAAGTCAAGCTAGGTGCGCTCGCGCCATATCTGAAATCCTACCCCTCCCACCCATCCCTTCCCATTGTGCTGTTGTTTCTATCCGCCGACGCTTGTCATAGCGGACCTGGAACTCCACAGATGATCCCATCGTTTCCTACGCAATCTTAAAAAATGGAGCTGCGCATATTGGTAGAAAAGGCGGCGGATGAGCAGGAGGATGAGCAGGAGGATGAGCAAGGAGAACGACGAGGACGAACAGCACCAGCAGGAGCTGGAGCGACAAATTGAGCGTTCCAAAAAAGGCCTCGCCTTCGAGGATCGGAGAAGTTGTCATCTATTCGTCGGCGGAAGGCGGCGGAAGGTCGTCGGAAGTAAAACGGGGGCGGCACCACTGGTGGAAGTCGGCGCAAGCTGGGGGGCGCAAAAGTCGCCCTCCCAAGAGACGACAACATTTTTGGGTTCAGGGTTTCCAGAACTCGCCAACGGGGGGGGGGGGGCAGCGAGGGCTGCAGCAGAGGGGCCTGGCAGGGCCCCGAAAGGGGCCCTTTTAGGGCCCACAAGTGGGCCTTTAGGGTCCGAGGAGTGCACCTTTCTACCCCCCGCCCACTTGGAGCGTTCCAGAAAAGGCCTTGCCTCCGAGGATCGAAAGGGTTGTGTTGTTGTGCCAAGTTGGCGCGTTTGAGACCCACGGTCGGGGGCCGCATGGCCCGTCGTGCGTCTGCCGCCAGGCCCATGGCGAGCAACCTTTCTGGGGCCGACATTCACGGGGTTGCGAAGTTCGAGCTGTCGCAGTTTCGTCGCCAGGCGGCCACTGTGCTGCAACCCTCGGCCAGAGGAAGATCCCTCACCTGTCTCGTGTTGGCCCACCAAGGGCAGCGCTGGCTCGCGGCGGTAGCGCCGATCACCCGTTGGGCCAAGGAGGTTTGGATCTCCCACCATCCTCTGTACTCTTTTCTGTCCCCTTGACCGAGCTCAGAGAAGCTTGCGATCTTGGTCGCCGCAGGGAGTCGGGGCTTTGCAAAAAAAATGTTGCTGGGCCTGCGTCGGCCCTTCGGAAGTCCTGTGAGCGCATGTCCTGGAACGTGGGAACTTTTGCCGCGATCCCTTCGGACAAAGGAGGCAAGATTGTGTTTGCTGAAAATTCGCCTCAGCTGCTGAAGACGCTCCTCAAGAAAACGGTTATTCGTGGGCTGGAGTGGGACTAGGGGGCAAAACTTAACCTGAATGAGAGGGCGTGCGTCGATGGAGTTTTTGAGATGGCTCCAGAGCTCTCGGCTCAGTCCCTTTCAGAATGGTTGTGTGAGGTCGTTGTCTCGTAACGCCATGCATGATAGACAGCGCGCTGCCGACTTAGGCTACGTTATACCGCCCACGCTGTGCCCGCTGTGCCTCGACGCGGAAGGCACACACAAGTAGCGATTATGGCAATGTGCGGAGGTGTCGAACGAGAGGGGGGCTTTGGTCAAGGACATGGCGAGGAGGTGGGCTGAAGACGCGGACGACGTGCTCGCGTGCTTCGGAGTTTTCAACCACCCTGCCTAGTCTTCCCCTCGCCCTCTTCAGTCGGGTGGTGTGCAGGTCGAATGGGTTTCTCCTAGGGGACTCCACGCTCGGCAACGTTTTCGTCGGGGATGTATTCACGGACGGGTCATGCAGCAAGAGGGTCACCCCCGAACTCGATCGTGCGGGTTGGGCCTTCTCGCTCTGGCATCGTGACACAGGTCTCGAGATCGTTAGAGTGCGGGTGCCAGTCTGGCCCCCGTGTCCACAGACGGCGCAGGCCGCTGAGTTTCACGCTTACTCGATCGCGCTGCAGTGCTCGAGTGGTCCTTGCGAGTTGTTCGTTAACTGTGAAGCCTGCGTTGGTTGTCATGCCCTTTAGTGGGAAGAGCAATGCTTTCCTAAGCGCGCGCGCGCTGGAGTTGCCCAATGTTGTCGAAAGTTGTCCCAGCGGTGCAAAGTGCACAAAGTCAAGACACAATAGTCCATCGAAGGGGCCGAAGATAACTGTGATCTCGACTTGCGTGACGGTAACCATGCTGTCGACGTTTCGGCGAAGCAAGCTGTGTTGATCCACCCACCACCTGACAGCACGGAAGCTGAAGGATGTATATTGCAAACTGGTCATTGCGAGAGATGTGGACATCATGGCCGCGAAGCTCTTACCACTTTGGCCGTGGCTCGATCTAGGGCCGAACGTGCAGAGGGCCCCTGTTGCCGCTCCTGTGAGCAAGGGGCAGGGTCCGACGCACGCCTGCAGCTGGACGGGACGTGTTTAAGAATGGTCTAGGTGCTTTCGTGGATCACGTTCAGCCGACAAACCGCCCGCAAGATGGTGCCGTGGTGGCGCGTTCGTCGGGATCCATGGCATGGATGCTCCTGCGTGTTCTGCCCTGGGGCACAACATGCTGTTTCTTGACGCCTCGGACGACAGTTTTTTTCGTGTGCCTCAAATACATGTTCTACACTGGAGGTGGGCAGGTTCGAGGCCTCCGACAGCCCTGCCAGCCGATCCCGAAGGCTGGAGCTCAGGGTCGGAAGCACGCCTGGAGGCAGATTGCGAGGGGACGGCATCCCAAGCGCGGAGACGTCACGGTCTCTGTTGGCCCCTGGGCCAATATGGAGGAGGAGGAGGCCCCCGCTCCCTCTGTTGAGCCTCCCCCCCACTCGGCCTTGGAGGAGGAGGAGGATGCTCACGAGAGGCGCTGGGCCGATTTGGCCCAGTGCCTCTTCTCGGCTGCCAATCCGAGCCTGCTTGAGGATCTTGGGCATCGTTGGCCAGAGCCAGCACGCACCATTCCTCACCGCGGAGACAGCGACACTGATTAGGCATTTAGAAGCCTGCTCCATATTCGTCTGGTCAGATGGTGGGGTCGGGGGTCGGATCCTGTTCTGGGGTTCCCCCGAGTCAGTACTCGCCCCGCCCTACCTTGTGGTGTCTGGCTGTGCTTCGCCTTTCGTTTTTGTGCGTTGCTGGCTTATGCCAGCACGCTGGTTCCCTCGCCGCGGTGGCAGCGGCACTGTTCAGACATTTAGGGGACTGCCCCATATATGTCTGGGTGTATGCTAGTGTCGTGGGTCGGGTCCTGTACCGGGGCTGCCTGAGACAGCACCCGCCCGTTCGAGACGGCCCCCTTCCTGCCCTGGTCGCGCCAGGCAGGGCTTCCCCTTTGAGTTCTTCTCGCCCAGCCTGTGTGCGCGGGTATAGACTTCGAACCTGCCTCTTGGAGTTCGGTTTGTGTGTTTGCTCTTTGCCTCGGGGGTCTCGCCCTCCCCTGAGGTGACGTGCGGGCTGCATGCTGCGCTGCGGCAAAACAAATCCTCCTCCCGCCCGTGATCTGGGCTGCGCGGCCGATGAAGAGCCTGCGCCTGCTGGCGGATGGCGGCGCCGCCGCGCAGGCAGACTGGTTGAACACCAGGCGCACAGCGGGCGACCGAGGCGTAGCAGCCAGCAAGCCGTCGCCCTCTGCCCCGTGGCGTGGCAGGTCCTCCTCCTCCTCGAGCCTCCTCCTCGAGCCTCCTCCTCCTCCTCCTCCTCCTCCTCCTCCTCCTCCTCCTCCTCCTCCGCCTCCTACTCCATGCACGCTCTTGGAAGGCCAGGCGGGCCGTCGCGGGGTCTTGGGGCTCCTTGATGGGCTCTGGAGGCGGTCCCACGTGGATGCCGCAATGCTGAGTCCCCCTCGTGTCGCTGTGGCGGCCCAGGAGACACGCTGTGCGTTGCAGGCGGATGGCGTGCCGCTCCGCTCCGCGGGGTTCGAGGCTGGGAAAGGTTCGGGACGTTGAGGCCTGGGGACTGCATGGATACCGCGCCGTGCCGAAGCGTGGTGGGCCAGGACTGGCGGAATAACACGCTATTCAAAAGTTCCTGACCGTAGGGTAATAGGCGACAGAGAAAAAGGAAGACAAGACACATTGTGGGTAGAAAAAGGTGGGAGGATGAGATGCCCGTCCTCCGCCTCATCTTTTCCTCCTCCTCCTAATCCTATTTCCCATTCCTCCTCCCTGCACATCCCTCGCTTGGCCTCTTCCTCCAATATCCTCCTCCTCCCCCCCCCCTCCTCCTCCTTCTCCTCCTCCTCCTCCTCCTCCTCCTTCTCCTCCTCCTCCTCCTCCTCCTCCTCCTCCTCCTCCTCCTCCTCCTCCCCTCCTGAAGCTCGTCCTACGAATCCGCTCTTCATAACTTTCATCCTCCTTTTTCTGCTGATCCGATATATTTCGTTGTCCGTGACGTGAATACCCGCTGCCCTCTCCCCCAGGCCCCGTTCTCCATCCCGAAGGGCTTTGACGGCCCCGCGAGAACCGACACGCGCCTCCAGACGCGCAGCAACCTTCACAAAAAACAGCCCCTAGGTTGCTTGGTGTTTGCTTCTTCCTGTTCTTGGCTCAGGGGCGCTCTGATGTCCGACCCAGGCGACCCGCAGAACAAAGCACTCCACGGACCCGTCCTGGGGCCTTGCAGGCTCGTCCTTTGGAATTGCCTCCATCTGCGTTCAGCCGTGGCGGCCTAGGCAGTCCTCTCAAAAAAACTCCACGGACCCGTGCTGGGGCCCTGCACGGGGCCGTCTTCTGGAACTGCTTCGGCCTGCGTCCAGCCGTGGCGGCTGGGGCGAACACAGAAGAAAACGCT